TGGTAATGTTATTCACTTGAAAATGCTTCAGGTCCATTAATATAAGCAAAGACTTTATTATGATGTATTTTCACAAAAAGCAACACTCGTTAGTTGAAATAATTCTCTTTTTAATGAAACTATATTGAAAATAATTTGAGCTTTATTTGTAGATATTCTTGATGAAAAGTTTCTTAAAAATATTAATTTTTCGCAACTTGAGACCTGCTAGTAATTTTGCGATATTTAAGTATTCATAGAACTTATGTGCCATAAATGTAAGGAATCTACAGAATTGAATTGAAACAATGTAGAGACAACATAGAATTTATGTACGAAAAAAAAACGAGAAAGAAATCTTAAACAATTGCAGTAAACCTTTTATCACTTTACACTGGTCTTAAATATAAAAGGTTATCTTTACGATTTATACCAGTGATTATGTACCATACCACATCTTTGTCGATCTTCCAAAAGATAAAAAAAAAACAGGAGCAGTAGACCTGACCTCGTTAAACTGTCATTGTATCACCAAACTTAAGACGAAAGACAAGTTGTTCTACTCCATCTCTGGGTCGATGACTTGTTTTTCATGAAATTGTGTTAATTTAATGAGGAAGGGAATGTTTGAAAAAATCCCCTAATTATACTTATCTGTGATTAATAGGAGGGGTAATCCCTTTTCGACCGACCACACTATCCATGGGTCTAAATTATGTTATGCAGACATTTTAGTAAGTAATCAAAATCAGTATAGATATACAGTAAAACTATATATATGATATAAACAACTGCAATGAAACAATTTTGCTGAAAAACGACCAATAATAGGATGTATTCACTATAAAGGTCATTATAAGGACATAGAATTTACGAAATTCTGAGAAATTCTGACCGAGATTATAGAAATCCTTGCATCATCAATTCATCTGTCAGTAGTCTGCCACGGTTTAAAAATTGATCGTACTCTTGAGTATAAAAATTATAATAAAAAAGAAAAGGAAGAAGTAAATACAATTTGAAGGTATTACGGAATATCCCTATTTAAATAAGGAAAGTTGACCACAGATGAGCTGAAAGTCATCTTCATCTTGTTTGTAAAAACAAAAAAAATGCTAGTTGTTCTATACCGCCTTAAGTCATTAATGCATTCAAATATGAAACAGATGATGACGTCTCTATGATATCTTTTACTTCGAGTTTAGATGGATATATTGAGTCTAAGTATATATATCATAACTACATGTATATATCATGTCGTCATATGATTGAAGTATTGATAATTCGTAAAACGTCGTCAGTAAATCTGATTGTCCGGTTGAAGGACATGACATATGTTTTCTTCCTTTTCAAAATATGTGCGACCATGATATTACATAAAATTACAAAGTAAGAGTTGTATCTAAATTCATTTACGTTCTCTGCTTTGCGACTCTGAGCGATATTTTCTGTACAGAACGCTTTATTGATTTTGGTTTGCTCTCTTGCAATACTTTGACTGGATAATATCCAAGAAGAAAGAATGTTGCATTGCTAATGACGTAAAATTCATATTCAATATCCTACCCAATTTTATTTTGACGAAATCTATTAGCACTTCTATTGAGTGGTAAACATGTTTTGCAAAACGTCAGGATGTTTAAAGACAATTATGTCTAAACTTAAGTAAAACAAAATCTAAAAAGTATTCCGTAAGCTATACATTAATATAAAAAGCATTCTTTCCAAGCAAGAGATTGTCTGAAAACTGTTTTACATATATTGTATCTTTCGTCCTTTCGTTTCCTTCCTAAATATTTTACTTTTGAAAATTTGCACCTGAAAGATATCACCCCTTAGCCAGGAACAATAACTCTGAAAAATATCTAATTGAAGAAATCCCAAAAGGAAGCTTGCAACTGATTTTTTTTAGCAAAAATCTACATTCATGCATCTTGATGTTACTCGAGATTCTTTGAAATCTCCTAAATGGCTTTTCAAACATCCGTATCCCATAAAAAAAATTGTTTACCTGTTTAAAAAATACGGCATTAATATCAATGTTAGCATGAAATACTTTAGTTATTGGTCCAAGTTATATATGCAAAATCTTTCAATGTTACTGAATGCTCTTTCATATTGTTTTTTGTAAGTCGATAGAAAAAGAGCATAAAAGCATGCAATGTTCCAAACGCCTGAATACTTATACCTTTTTCCTATGTTGATGAATAGTCAATTATTTTGTCTACATTATATCATTAATTAACTATGATAATAATTGTTGAAGAAATAAGACTAATAAGGCAAATTTCTAGTGTGAGTTCAGAGATGTTTTGTCGGGAATTTCAATGACGTAAACTTAATATTGCTAATTTCCAGAACCTGAGGAATGGACTACTTTTAACTGAGATTGACTTTGTAAAGAAGATATTTGATTCTGTCATCATTTTCAACGTCTTCGTCTGGGTCTTGTTAATACGATATATCAATCATGTGCGCCTTTTTATTTCCTTGTACTAAAAATAAACATACAGTCATCTATAACGTTTCTAATTAAATGTTTCATTTTACAAAAAAAAAAAAAAATAATAATAATAAAAAAATAAAGCTCACTAGGGAAATAATACCATCATGTTATTTATCATAAATATATGTACATGTATATGAGAAAATTTTACACGTATCTAACTGTCGACATTTCGAGATATTGAAGTCTCATTTCAAGTAAAGTTTGTAATTAATTGTTATTTATTGATCAGCATTTATTTTTAAATTTACGTATCTTTATATGATATGCACCATATGCAAGATTCCTTGCTTTTGATAACAAAGTCTGTTAGTAGCTAGCATTCAGTGAATTTTGTGACATTCTTTCACTTTTAAAACAACTAAAGTGAGAGAATAGTTCAAAATATGTTAATCCGCTTGGAAAAATCGTATTAAAAATTTTAACAGAAGTACATTTTTTAAAACATAATTGATATAACTCTTTTTTATCCAATTGTTACCATCCATTTGGGCTTTGGAGTGCTTGAATTGCGTTGCCTTGCGTTGTCTTGCATTTTTTTACTTTAAATTATAATGCCTTTTAAGTTTTCTGTAATTTCATCCTAAACAGCTTAAGTAATTCTTAAGTAGGTTATATTAGTACATCGTTTGGGTCTCATTTTTGAATTTTTTCTCTTCTGTTTTCCCCGGCATTATAATAAAAAATACATATCTAATCGCCAAATACTAGACATTGCAGTTAAGCTCTTGGTTTAAGATGCCATTGACCATGCAGAAAAATCAAGTCCTTTTCAACGATGTCAGTGCTTTTTACATAACCTAAGGAGCATATGTGACCTACCCTATATAGATAGGCCTAGAGAATTTTAAATACTAAAATCAATTCATATCATATAAAATGTCATATCAGCCTGTGTGACACCGTATTGATAGTTCGAGTTATTTCAATTGCGTCTTACATAACCCTAGGGGTAAATATGACTTGCCATTGATTTAGAAAGAGAGAATATTAGATACTTACATATACTTACGTAAATCCATAACATATTTCATATCACTCCGAGCGGCCCTATATCCGCTGGAAATCATTCCAACAAATTTAATACATAAATCGTATTACCTGTATATTTCAATAAAATAAAGTTTTTTTACCTTTTAAAAATTACTTCCTGTCTAATATGATTTTTTGCAAACATCTGTACATGTAAATGAAATATTTGAACAGAATTCGAGCAAAAAATTCAGTTCTAAGAATACAAATCAGGAGCAGAGCAAACACGAACCTCGTTAACATCAGAGGTGAGATCAGGTGCCATGGAGGAGTGACCATCTCTTGCTGATGGTCACAACCGTCCTGTACTCCTTGCCCATTATAGAAAAATCTGTAGGTCCATCTTTTAAAAAAAAATCTTTGGTTGCCCTCTCCCGACCGACAGATTAATTTGGCCCGACTTAATTTTTTTTTATTAGTCATAAATACATGGTTCCAGGACACGATACATCCCAGGACCCAATAATTATACCCTGAATCGGGAAAGGGCAAACAACTATTAATTTAAAGATGTCCTGGACAAATCAGTTTGTAAATAATGACAATTAGTATGAAAAACCTTAGTCTTCTAGATTGTATTTTTTGACAAGGTCTCGACCACAAAATTTGCAAATTGATGATTTTGAACGAGACTACATTCTTGTTTCAATATTTTGTTTATCAATAGCTTACTATTTTTCAGATATTGTTCATACGTATAACATGCTGTTGTTTAAATCGAATTAACTGAGAAATATGCAGGTTAATAGGTATATTGCTATATATGTAAGGAGAGTTGACGAATAAAAATAGCCATGACGTTCATGATAGAGTTTTGTTGTTAGACAGCAACTGATCCTTCGGCAAAAGCTCGGCACTGAATAGTGCCCCGACAGACCCTCATGATAAAGAAAGTTAAATTTCAAAATCATTGAAGCCCTGAATCGGTATTTTGTGTCGAATCTTTATAATGAACATTTCTGGTGTATATGACGTTATTATTTATAAAAAAGAAAATGAAACAGCAATCTACCTAAACTAACTCAAAATCTTCCTTTTTCTTAGGCCTTGTTTGTATCTTAACAATAAATATAAAATGTGGATTTACGTTTTGTATTTAACACATTTGTTCAGACATGATGAAATACTGAAAACTATGAGCGGAAATAAGTCATTTTCCTCATTTACGTAATTTATCAATCATGACAAGGAGAACAAGGCGGGTGTGACCGGTCGACATTGAATGCCCACTCCTCCATGGCACCTGATCCCATCTCTGATGATTTAGAGGTGTGTATTTGCTCTGCTCCTATTTGGCATTGTTTAATGGACTTCTGAGCTTGAATATTGTTCGTTATCTCCATATATTTCACATGTTTCATGTATCTTTGTGTATTTTGTGTAGTGCATACATACAATGGTTAAAATGTCAAAATGATTAAAACGATAATTCAGAGGAATCAATTAATCAATTAATTAATTCACATCAATATTATCAGTTCAACAAATTTATTAACAACTCATCCAAACAATCACAATTAATATTAAATCGAATGTAGTACTATCACAGATATATTCAAAATAAAAGCAACTTAATATTCAATCACATTCTCAACTGACTCTTTGCTTTTTCTTTTAAGTTTTAGAATCTTCTTCAGAAAGTTTCTTGGTCCTTTAATGTACTTTTGTTTCTTGTTGGTGAAGGACACAAATGTCGGAATGATACCATTTAATTGCAACCGGATCTGACGTATTATTCCGACTAAAAGTTCATCCACGTGATGGTGTAACGTCACCGACGTCTCAATGTATTTGGCATCATGTTGATTTGCAACTTGTCTGGCCTCTGAAGTAAAAATATGACAAGTGATAATCTAGCATTAAACGTTGATTATCTGGTATAAAAAGCTAATGTTTTACATTATTAGCTATAATCCCTCAAAAACTGATTGGAATTTACATAAACGGCTATTGCAATTCGTCGTTAAGAAGCTTTTACATAGCTGTTAAATCAAAATCTACCCATCGATGATAAATTAATATAATTTTGCATAACAGGTAATCCAACAAATGGACAATAATCTTATTCTCTTCGTCAGAGTAAATCTCTTTCATAGAAATTATTTTCATGATTATTTCTTGGGTTTGACAGGTCAAAATCTGAGTCTAATTAGGTACTGACTTATTTTTTACAATCCATCAAATTTTGAGCGATTTGCTACTTCATTAGATAGCTAATAAAGTGTAAACCCCTATGAATTAAAAAGTCATTGATTCGAAATCCAATTACAGACATCTCAGCAAGCAAAACTAAAAATAATCTCATTACCAACTAATCACAGCACTATCAGGTGATCCAGAAAATTATATGATGCTATATTGAGAGTTGAACTTACCTTCGGAGGTGACTTTCCGGTTGCGTACCAAATCAATCTTGTTAGCAACTAGGATAATAGGGCGATCAGAACCTAGATCGTTCCTTAGGCGGTGCATGGCATTGTTTGCGGTCTCAAAGGAAGCAACATCGTCCACCGACATAACAAAAATAAAGGCATCGAAGAAACTTTCACCAACGTTCTGTAAAAAATTAAATTATTCAAAATCTAAATTTGGATATAAAAAGATAATGAATTTCGTTAAATGCAAATTATTTTTATTTATCGAAAATAATAATAATTAATTATTAGAGTGTGGAGCCTACCTGGTCCACCTGAGCATCCCAAAATTCAAGGGACGATTCTTCTCCATCAAGGAGCACCGAAACATTCATGGAAGCTCTGTTATCTGCAACAGACAATATAATACATGTAGCATGGCATTTATCTAGATTACAGTGACTCAACGTATCTAACTTGTAATTGCAATTTGTCAATTGCAAAAAAATGAAATGTTGGTAATACTAATACCGGTATAAAAAATTCTTTTATAACTGTACATACCACTGACATCTTCCTGGCCGCCAATATATTCAGATGTCATAAACTGGTTCATAAGTGTTGTTTTACCAACACTGTGGGCACCAAGTATTGCAATTCGAAAATACTCGTTAGCACTGCTAGAGTAACTGTCTGTATCATTTGAGGTTTCGCTCGGCAGTCGCTGTCTTTTATCAATTTTAAATGATCCACTTGAAGGAAGAGCTCTCCCCCTGTTTTTATTTCTGAAGGAATCTCCATGGTTAACAAGTCCTTTGGAAGTCACTTTAAATGATCTAACGCGTTGGAAAGTCTCATGAGAGCTAGTACGTTGAGAAAAACTTTCGGCGGAAAATGAAAATAAATTTGTCAAATCACAATCTATCGGAAGACTATTCCTTCGGAAACTTTCGATAGTTCCGCCATTGTCGTCTGCTTTTCCTTTTCGTATGGAACTTGTACGAGATTGAGGGGCGGACACAGATGAATGGGCGATGCAAAACTTGTTCAAGGACTTTCCCTTGGATTTAGAAAACATTGTTGACGAATTCAGTTCCGAATGACTGTAGAGCAAAGAATTTGCTTCTTCAAGAGTTTCCGTGACTTGATTCTCTTTCCTCATTATATCCACAGTTTACACAGGTATAGCTTCAAAATCACAGAGCTAAGACCTGCTCATGCTGAGATTTCAGGTAAAGCGTAAGTCAATGCTGAAGTTTTGATATTGATCGAATCAAGGCCTGAGGCGGTCTTTATATACAGACGGCTGCTGAGGTAAATTGTAGCACGTGGTTTCATTCTCACAATCGCACGTTATATCGAAAAAACGAACTGTTAAGCTCTTTAATGTCAAAATTGTTTTCATCAATTTGAAATTGACGTTCATAGAAAAAAAAACAGACCAATATAATTTAAATATAATACATGCATATACACCAACTGGTTGGCGTTGCACAGTAATAATGTGCATTCCATGTATTGAATGGTCTGAATTTGTTTGCATTTGAAATATATTTAAGAAATTATTAATTTAAATCAAAGTATTCATATTCATCTACTAGTTGTAATTAGTGACCTTCATACTGTTGTAGAAGTGGTTGTAATAATTTTGATAAGGTCATGTTTTAAAAAGACCATTTAAAAAATATTTTACGTTCATAATTCCATTGTTTTAAATCCATACATCCTTTTACTCCTACCACAGTATTTAAGAAAACTTTGGTATTTTCCATCTTAATTTTTTTTTCTTTTTTCATTTTAAACATTTTATTTGTTGGATGCTCATACCTTGGTTATTATGATTTTATGTTTAGTGATGTACATGTATAGAGCAAGTAAAAAAAATATGATATCAATGTTTATATTTTGATATATAATTGTCAAATAAGTGAAGTTATTTATTTATTGGTGTGAAAGACTAAACAAGTAATCCCTCGTTTTCACTAATGTTGATTTCTGAAAAATGTTATGACGTCATCAATTTGTATTGACTTTTTGTGGGGGAGAGCTGTTAACCTCAATAAATATCATCTCTTATTCGTCAAAACCCTCTTTTTTCATCCAACTGTAGTTGTATAAATGGCAATGCCAAGTAATGACTTACAAAATATTGGTGTCGATAAATGGTTCTGTCAAACATATTGTTCACTGCACTTGATGATGTCTTGCTATAAATCTAATTTAATTGACATGGACTTTATATCCGTGTATGTGGAATTTGTTTACCAATAATTCATTTTCTTTCCTGTATTTGTTTTTTTACAATTTACGTCACAACATCGATGAAAATTAAAATATGTGTTTTCAATGACATTATTTTTTGTTAAGTAAAGAAATGTACTTTAAAAATTAATACCTCTCTTCATTTTTAGCGGCATCACAAAAACAACAGCAGATCAAGTCAGTATACATTTGCACATTAGTATTGTATATAGTGTAGTTCTGTTTGTGAAGAAACTTTGTCAAATAATAAAATAAACAGATTCAGAGATTGCTTCTTTATTTTTCTGCAAATTTTATTTTTCCAAGGATGCAATGTTTCAGCAGAAAACACAAAATCAATATATGCAGTTGTAAAGAAAAAATATTTTATATTATTGCAAATCTTGCTCATAATTGCGCAGTTAATGTTTAATCTTCAACATCTTAAAAAGATTAATTGATTAGCATAAAGAAGGGACAAGGACGCTTCAAAGCTGAAAATTTTAATTTGGTTTTATCCGATTTCATATCATCCAAGAGACTTTGATAAAAGCTAATACAACAAATACAATCCATCATAAGGTTAAATGTTGAATGATGTTTTTCATACTAATTGTTTCATACTTCAAGTACTCATTTAAACACTGAAATTTCTCAGATTTTCCGCTAACTCGATCATGTCAAAAAGCACACGGCGGATGTGATTGGTCGTTAGGGAGTGTTTCCTCCTCCTTGGCATCTGATCCTATCTCTGATGTTTTTTGGATGTCCGTACTTGTTCTGTCCCGATTTGTATTGTGTAGATAGACTTCAATCTTGAATACTCTTCGTTATTTCCATATTTCTTTTTTTACAAAGTATAAAGTGCATACATGATATTGTTCACTGTAACAAAGTCATTGATCGGTCCACAAACTCAAACTAAACTTTAATCTGCCCAATTAAATTTAATAAATTTGGATCACGGTTAATGCCCTCTCACCATCAGATAACAGCGTGCTTTGTTTCTTTTATTAAAATTGGTTATGAAAAAGCCCTGGGTAAGAAAACAAAATATACCTGTCTTATTTCCTTAATTCACTTCTCTTAAAATACCTTTTGATAAGGTCTTGTAATTTTTTATCATTGCCTCAATTAGCATCTAACTTTTAAATAAATTTAGAAGCATACAAGAAATTCATTTCCAGTTCTCCCAACTTCTGCCCAATTGACCTACGCTCAGGGTCAAGAAACATGTCTGATCGTATCCTACATAAAAAATTATACATCCCAAAGCTTTTAGTGAGGCTAAAGTTGTTATTTTATTGCAGAAAACGCTTTAAACATGCCCCTCCCTTCCTTATGTTTATTTTCGAAAATAAACAAGTAAATGTCCTGGAAAATATTTTCAGTCTCAATTTTAAGAGGCGAATATACATATAAACAGTAAACATTTGCATTTTTCTGAAAATGTATGATATTAAAATGATTATGCTTTACCAACCCATTAATTGAGACTGCTTTTAATGTGTTTCTGTAATATATAATTGGTTGTAGAGTTCATTGACAGAGAATCAGTCTGACATTTTGTTCTGAAATATACTGCTTTTGTGTCAGGCATTTTTAATGGTATATGTGTTTCGATCACGTGAAGTCATTAGCTATTATGTTACTATTAAATATTCACAGTACGAAGGGTGTCGTTAGCACATAATTTTTTACCCTTTTGATAATAGTTTTGACCGAATACTAATGTTCCACATATTTGACCGAACGTTTATTTTTTTTTCTTCTAAAAAAGCAAAAGCTTGGAAATTCTTCTACTGAAACATGCAAGGATTCTTCCAGCATCAATTAAACATTTTGAAGAACCCGAATGTATCCTTTTGTCAAAACAATGTTTTAGAAAAGAAAATTAAGTAAAGATAGAAATTTAAGAAGCACAATTAAAAGGATTTAATTTTATTTCATTTTAATGCATAAAAACGTTTGTTCTCTTTTAAAAATAAATTATTAAAATCATGTGATTTATTTGAAGGAAGACAAATAATCTTATAAGTTTATTCTTTAGTAGTATGTCACTATTGAATGATGAAACTAAGAAAATAAATCTGAATTCCAAACTCTTCTCCTACATATCTACTGATCTTTAAAAACAAAATAGGTAGTAAAATGATTATGAAGAAGATGAAGGAAAAACTATTTTTAATGAATAATCATTAGATCTAAATATATTGAAAACAGTGGTGTATATAATACCACATCGAAAGTTTTAAAATCGGTTACGATCAAAATTAGTGAGAGGCAAACCTTACTAAATGAACCGTCTGTAATTTACAGCCAATGCATCAGATGTATTATATATTGTAACTCATATACAGTTGCACAATGCCACTTATGAGAATTAATCATTGTATTAGATAATTATTTCGACAGATATTTTTTTTACTATTGCCAGACTACTTCGGAAGGTAATAATGCACAGCAGTGCAATGACTTCATAAACTAGAAGTGGCTCCTTGAGACCCACTGTTTATCTACATATTCTACTTTATATCTGCCTGTTTAGAAACCATTGTCACAACACTCATAAATGTACAGCTTAAAATATTTCGTTTGTTTTTTTTTCTCTTGCATTTAGTCATCTTGGGATTTCACAATTTTTTGGCGATTTTGTAATCCATTTCTAGGTCTTTTCTAGTTTTTTTTTCTTTTGACGATAAAATTTATTTTTAACATTGAAGAAAGTTCCAATTATAACAATGATGCCTGCTTGTTAAAGCAGTCTGAAAATGCAAAGTAAATATTTACATTTTCTTTATTTTCAATTCAATTAAATTTCAGATAAATCAAAATTCGTATTAAAAAGTTGTAGCAAATATCGACTGTTAATAATAAAACTTCTGAATGAAATATATGAAAATAACGAACAGTATTCAAGCTTTAAAAAATCCATTAAACAATACAAATTAGGAGCAAAGCAAACACGACCTCTAAAACATCAGGATAAGGTAGATTCAGGTGCCATGCAGGAGTGATCAACCCCTGCCGACCAGTCATACCCGTTGTGAATAAAAGAACATTTTTTAGGTTTATGTAAACAAAGAAAAAATTATATTAATTATGCACATTGTTAGTAGAAAAAAAAATATTTCACTCTTTAGGTAAAAAATAAAGTTAACAATAAAAATATGTGTTGAGGGCATAAAACACGAATTCCTGGAAATCCCAGAGGTAGATCAGGTACCTAACCTAGGGATATTCATTATTATCGAATGTTTATAAATCTTTGACAGACAATTTCACACACACAGATCTCCTCAATGCCGATAAAAATATCGCAATGTTTACGTTGTATATCGTAATATATTACATTTATAGATTCAAATTGATCAAAGATGTCCTATATATGACAAATTAAAGAAACCTTAATATTCAAATAAGTTCAAAAATGACGCAAAGGTTATTGAATACCGATAATCGGAATAATTTCTTATTCAACCGCATCCAGGTTATCATTTTCATCAGCGAAGCTACACAATGAAAAAAAAATAATTCTGGAATGAAAATTAACAGCAGAACGTTTTAAAACTGCCATTCGTAAAGGATGCAGATCTGCTCAGTATGTCTTTGAAGTGCCGCCATATTGCAGCTGTTGCCATCTGGTTATCATTCGGAGGCTTAAGCTGAAGGGATGCAAGAAAAAAAAATCATTCATTGACAAGAAAAGTCTATTTAAAATCCTAATTAACCTTCTTCTTATCAATCCTCTCTCTGTAAGATGACATGCCTTTTTAGTTTTAAAGTACATGAATGTTTGTTTCCCTCCTTCCAAAAGATATTTTATTGATTATGTAACTTACTCTTAAGTTGAAGTGTTATAATCTGTTCATTATTCTCTTTTAATTTTAATTTTATTCACAATCTCTTTATAATTTGTTATAACGTGAAAAATATGTCAACATAATCCAATATTTCTGAAAGTTTGCACCAAAACAAACACACAATATATTGTCACTGCAGTTGGAT